GAAAATACAGATAGCCAATAGACACATGAGAGATGCTCAAGGTCGCTAATCATCAGAGAAATGCAAGTTAAATCCACCATATGACATTACCTCACATCTGTCAGAATGGCAATCATCAGTAAATCAAAGAACAATAAGTGTTGGTGAGGATGCGGAGAAAAGGGAACCCTCATACATTGTTGGTGGGATTGCAAATTGGTACAGCCACTATGGAAAACAGTCTGGAGGTTTCTCAAAAAATTAAAAATGGATATACCTTTTGACCCAGCAATTGCACTTCTAAGTATTTATCCAAAGAAAACCAAAACAATAATTTGTAAAGCTCTATGCACTCCTATGTTCATGGCAGCACAATTTACAACAGCTAAGATATGTAAGCAACCTAAATGCCCCTTAACAGATGATTGGATAAAGAAGTTATGGTTCATACATGCAACGGACTACTATTCAGCCATTAAAAAAATGAAATCCTACCATTTGCAATGACATGGACAGACCTAGAGGTTATTACGCTGAGTGAAATGTCAGACATAGAAAGATAAATACCATATGATTTGACTTATATGTGGAATCTAAGGAACAAAAAGAACAAACTAATCAAAAACAGACACAAATACAGAAGACAATCTGGTGATGGCCAGTGGGAAGAGGGGTTAGGGAGTTGGGAAAAAGGGGTTAATGGTTAAAGAAATACAAATTAATAGTCGATAGATGATCACGAGGATGGGGAGCACAACATAAGGAATACAGTAAGCATTAATGTAACGGCTAGGTGGACAGCCAGAAGACAGAAGGAGCAATTAGGGGAGTCGTTTCATAAACTATATAAATGTCTAACCAATGTAATGTATACTTGAAACTAATAATAAAATTTAAAAACAAAAAACAAAAAACTACTGATGCAATTAAATCAGAATCCCTGGAAATGGGGCAGAGGTATTTTCTAAAAAGGTTTCTAGATCATTCCAATATGCAGCCAGATGAAGCATCACTGCTCTAGCAGGTACATTTTATATGCTTTTATCCCAGTATGTTTTTAATTTTTGTTTATATTTCTGTCCCTTTTTTATTCTGGAAGATTTTCAGCTCAACATGTATTTATTGAATACAGGATATGTGTCATCATTATTGCAGGTGCTGAGAATACAAAGACAACTTTGTGTCCCTGTCTTCAAGAAGCTTGCAGCCTAATTCAGAAAAATAGTATGTAAACGAAATAACAAAATTAAGTGAAGTAGGTGCTGCTATAGTAATAGCCTATATAAAGGATATAGGTACATAAAAAATTAATCTACTCTCTTTGGGTATAGGGTTGAATCAGAAAAAGTTTCAGAGAAGGTGACTCCTTGAAGGAGGGACTTAGCTAAATTATTTTTGCATCTCTACCACCTAATACTCCTCCATTAAAACTTGATAATGGCCAGCCTCAAAGTTGGTATCCTTAGAACTCCTTGACTCAATTGGCTTTAACTTTTACTCCACTTCAGAAACCCACTCCCAAACTGCGTGCTGTATCATGTTAACACTGGAACCGGCCCTCCTCTGAAACAATTAACTCCGTTTGACTGACCACAGTCTTTAATCCTCCTACATTTTTCACAACCATTTTACCTCATCAAGTCCTCTCATCTCTTAGAGTCTCCATTTTACCTCAGTTCATCATTCTCCTTTGCTGTGTTTTTCTACTGTATTTTTTAAAAATTTGCTATATTTTTCTTTTTTTTTGTATTTTGCTGTATATTTCTATTGTTGCATTTATCATGTGGCATTATAATTTATATGAAAATCTGTTTCCTCTCTCTATTAGCTCATAACTTTTCTTAGAACAGTTACTGTATTCTTTTATCAGTCCTGCATCCTTAACCTAGAACAGGACCTGACCCATAAGTGCTCAGTAAATGTTTGGTGAAGGAATGGATAGTGTCCTCATCATTTTAACTACTATGCCATGAGCTCTCCAAAGGCAGAAACCTCATGTTTCCTATAATTCTCACCAGAGTGACTCACACATATCAGAGCCTCAGGGAACATTTATTTATTGAAATGTAAGTTAAAATGTATTTGAGGCTGTATACGATATAAAAACATGTTCCCTGCTCTTTTTTTTGGTATTATTTTAACAATCATTTAAGATAACCAAGTGGTCATGAGGCAAATATAAAAATTACCCATCAGAGCAAAGGCAAAATGATATATGGAAAAGCACTGGATTGAAGTCAGGAGGCCTGTGCTGCAGTCTTGGTTTTCCCATTCTGTGATCTACAAAACAAACATCTTAGTAAGCCTGTTTCCTTCTTTATTAAAATGGTGTTTGACCAGAATTTGATTCTTCATCATCTGAGGTTCCCTAACGTGCCATGCCTCTTAAAAAAATTTTTATTATGAAAGTGATACACTCTCAATATAAAAAACTGTAATGCCTTTCTGAATTATTTAGATAAGGGAAAATTCCAACTCTCCACCCTATTTTCAAAACTCTCCAGATATCCACTCTCAAGAGTTCCTTCTGTATCTTTAAGACATTCTTCATGCCTAAGCAAGTACAGTGCTAAAATTCTTGATTTTATTTACTTAGTGGACAGTCCCATAAATTCTAATGGAACCCTGACACAATGAAAGGAGAACTATAAATACTTTGATAGCAGAAAGATAATTACCTACTCAAAAGGCCAATAGAAATAAAATTAAAACACAGAAATAAGTATTTTAAACTTCAGGCATCACCACCAATGTTGTGCAATGTTATGTAAGTAAAAGGCATATATACCGAGAAAAGAAACTTTAGGGGGTAAGCTTCCCTTCAAGAAGAAATGTGGGAGACATGGGAATTGTGGGGAAAAGACTGAGAATCATACCAACATCACAACCACAGAAAGATGTAAAAAGGGTCAAAAAAAATCACAGAATTCTGAGTAGTAAAACAGCAAACAATTCTCAAATACACTTTGAGCTTAAGGATAGAGCAATTGTAGCAAAAGAAGTAGTTGTTTCCCTATACTAACTTCAGCCCACAAACAAATGTAGATTAATAGTATGTCCTTGATTTTTACAACAGCATCCTTTGAAGATCTATGTGTGAAAAGGGCATGTGCATATTATGAAGCTAAAGGTGAAATAATTATATTTCTAACCAGTACCCTCTAATGGTGGGGAAAATATATCACATGACAGTCATCATAAGAATTTTTTAAAAAGATATAAAAAGTACGTCATTGGGAAAGTAGGAAATTAGTTTCCCAAGAATATAAGGGAATGTGTGACTAACCGCTGGACACTTAATTTCCCTTTCATCTGTTACTGGAGAGTATTAAAACATGAAGGAATGTGTTAGATAGAGAGTCAAGCTTTAATTTCTGTACCGACCCAAAAACCAGATTTCACCTAGACATATCTCCAGTTTTACCCTTATAGTGTAAAATGATACCACTCTGTACTGTAAAGAATGCTTATAGGTAGGAGAGCAGCTTGGACAAGGATCCTGTTTTGCAAGGCTAACACATTATGGATATAAGTCCACTTTTTAAAATAGTACGCAAATACAATTCCATAACATATATGTTACAACTCTAACAACACTTAATTATAAATTACCTAATGACAATTACAGCAAAAAAAAAAAAAAATTAACACAATATTATAGTTTTTACCTGGCATTTTTACAACCTAAATAGTGTGATAAATAAAAACTAAAACTACAATTTAGAATTAATTTGGAGAAAAAGTAATTATTTTTTATTCCATAATATAATTTTAACACTGCGGTACACAGTGTAAAGTTTGTCAAGTTGAAAATAGTCAAGTCTAGGAACCAATCTATAATACCTCTATTAAAAAAATTATTAGTCAAGGATATGTGCATTCTAGGACTATAAACTTTACCCAATCTACCTTGTCTCCGGACATAAAAAAACACAAACAGAAATAAGGAACTAAAATCATTCTAGTTTCCTGCACCCTTTAGGTTAGGAGGAACAGTATTTCCTGACACCAGAAAATTGTTTTCACAAGTCAGCAGTTGAAGCTATGGTTTTCAAATTTGGGTAGAATATCATTTTAAGAGTCTTTAATAATGAGAATCTTAAATTTTCATTACCAGACATATCTATACTAGTTAGAATATATACCTAATATACAAAGAATATAAAACTAAATATATAAAGCAGTACGGTTTTTCTCAAACTTCGCTACTTTGTAGTTCAAAAAATGTTATGACCTCTCCATTTTATTCATCTCTCTCTTCCATCACCTCTTCCCGTAAATCCAATGAAAACTTCCAAGCCGCTGACACAAGCTGGTTCAGGAAGCTAAAAATCTGCAGAGCTCAATCCAAGTCAGAAGCGGCTTGTGTGCTACTTCCTGACTACAAGGCTCAATACTCAATACATTCCATTTAAAGTTCGAAGTGAAAAAATTATGTGGGAATCAGGCCCTGAAAGCCTCTTTAGAATTTTTCCATTCAACATAATAACACACTGGATCTACCCAGCCTCATTCACTGA